CCAAAGCCTGGTTTGGAATGGCACAGATCTGTGCTCTGGACTCAGTTTTAATGAGAAAATTGCTTAAATCTTGGGGAGTTCACAAGCTAAAGCTATGCAAAATGAAAAAAGTAAAAGCACAGAGAGAAGGTTTTTGTTAGGATGGTAAGATTAGCAACTCAGGGATAGAAAATGAAAAAACCAAAACTGTACCTTAAAGTATAAAAAAAATCATCAAAAGCAGAGAATCAGCAAGTGGCAACTAGGCAACACTGAGGATCAGTCTGTTTAAAGGATTAAGATACAGTCTTACTAGAAGCAGCTGAGGGAGCTGGGGGTGTTTAGCCTGGAGAAAAGGAGGCTCATGGGAGACCTCTCTGTGAATACCTGAAAGGAATTTGTGGCCAGGTGGGCGATCAGTCTCTTCTTCCAAGTAGCAAGTGATAGGATAAGAATGGCCTCAGTTTGTACCAGAGAAGGTTTAGATTGAGTGTTAGGAAAACATTTCTTCACTCAAAGGGTGGTCAGGCATTGATATAGGCTGCTGAGGTTAGTGGTGGATTCACCATGCCAGGTACTGTTCAATAGGTGCTTGGATGTAGCACTTGGGGACATGTGATAGACTCTGTGATCTTAAATATCTTTTCCAAAATGAATGATCCTATGATTCTAAGATTCACTGGTGGGATAAGATAGGAGCATACAATTGAGATGAACACCAACATGTGAATAACTTGCTTGCAACAACAGCACAATGCTTTCTGAGAGCTCATATTGTCAATGAAATACAGTACAATGCTTGTCTCCTTCATCTTTGACTGGATGACGAGGTTTGGGATTGGCAAATTCACAGTAAACATCACCTCTCTGAAGCTAAATGCAGCCATGCACAGGTTGATATGTTCACAATAGTCTGCACTGATGGCATAATGAAGGTGGCATGTCCATTGAGATGCCAAAATTTCTGCACCTGATTGTGTTTCTTGAGAGGTTCCTTTTCAGGTATGAGCCACAGTGATTGCTGCTACCTGTTCTGTAAGTCCTAGTGAAACACCATTTAGGAGAGCCCCTGCAATTGTAGGACTACATGGACACTGTGGTGGTTCATGCACTGGGTCCCCACTCTTCACAGGCTTCACTGGGCTGAGCCCAGAGTGGTCTGGCCTTGCACAACACAAGAGCGTGGCTGACAGGAAGAATGAGATGGCACCTGCTTCCTCAAGGCTGACCAAGTGATGCAGCTGGCACAGGAAATATGCATGGTCAATTACTGTGTTGGGTAGGGCAAAAAGGCTATGAGGCCATAACAACCACATAATAATAATGATAATAGAATGATAATAATAATAATAGTAGTAGTAAACCATGTAATGTATATTTGTAACACCTATAATGTAATTTCCTTTTACCTGCAGTTGTTGACTCTGAGCTCTTGGGCATTCATGTGTGTGCATCTCTGTGCGTGAGGAATGGGATTCCTTTGGCGTGCACAATTTGGGTCAGTTGCTCTTCCTCTACCTCCAGCCCTAAATCTGTTGATTCAAACATCTGATGAATTGGAAGAACTGGTGTCAGAGCCTGTGAATAACAAGTCACACTGTGACAGGGCGATGAAATCTGTCACATAAGTGACCATTATTCTGAGTTGCATGTAACTTGGATTAACATCATAAGACTTGAGATAGGCAGCCCTGAAATTTTGGATTAAGAGTGTCACTGCTTGCTACCACGCCAACAACACACAGCAGTGACCTGCAGGCTCTTGCCAAACAGGCACCCCCATTCCTATGCCTGCTGTAAACATACAAATAGTGAATTTGCAGTGAGAAAATCACTTTAACACACAGCTTGTCTCTGCGTAAACACATGTAGGAGCTAGGCATTCACAATTTGGGAGGATGAATCCTATTCTACCATTAGTACATGGCAGAGACAACACATTGTGGGATAATACTTTTGTTGAAGTAATTTTGCCTAGAAAACTTTCACTGCATTGCAACCATTAATAAAAAAGAGGAGTAAGCATGAAGTGCTGTGGCCATTAGAAATCAGTGGTGCATTCTGTGCCAGGAGTCACCAGTTAAATTTCCATTTGAATTCAACAAAAGGGATGGATGGTATCTTTGCAGAGTTTAAACTGGAGATAAGCAATTACATAGATTCTCTGATGCATTGAGTTGTGCCTCCTGGCAAATGACTGACCTGGGCTCTGGCATTGTGATTTCTTCCTTAACTGGCCCTTCATTTTCCTGGCAGAAGGTCATAGTACTGCAATTCCCCCTGCACAAGGATTGGCTCCAGCCTGTTTGTGGCAGCCAGGAGAAGGGAAGGTATCATGGTTGTCTGATAGGGTGGGCTCAGCTATCCATCCTGGGAGTCATCTTCAGCACCAAGAGTCTTGCCAGCCACTGCTATCCTACACTTCTCTGAAGCTGATGAGATTTTCATGATGCCCAGTAGGCTCAGTCAGACAAATTAGGACAGCTTTTGAAAGAAAGGCTGTGAAATAACCCTGGTGCAGCTTTGAAGAGATTCTTGGACATTTTATTGTCTTTTTATTTTTTTGATTTGTTACTCCATCAATCATTCAGTTCTATTAATATTTTAATTTCTGCCAAATGTGTGCTGTTTTCTGAAGCCCAAGAATAAACATCAAGAACTGCTGAAAGAGGAACTAGACAAACATTTTTGCACTTAACTGTGCCAACTAGAACTAATACTAGGACCCTAACTCAAAATCTTAGGACAGCTGTTATGCTTGGAACAGGTTAATCTTCAACAGAGAAAAAGGATCACGTCCAGCTGTTTCTAAATTATTACAGATAAGTCAGTGCAAGCTTTCACACAGTGAAGACAGAGCTCCTTGCTTACAAAGGAAATGCTAAAAAATCTGTTTGTTGAAGCTCAATGGAATAGTTTTGTGAGTTTTTAAAGATTTGATCAGAAACCATCAACTGAGAAAAATGGGTTATATCAACTTTGCTGGAAAACAAAGGGGCTTAGAACACAAGTTGATTTTTGTGTTCTTTTAAAGGAAATCTAACACCTGTGTAAATGAGCTGAAATGGTTTCCAAGCAAATTCCTTGCCTCTGGTTTATCATCAGCAGGTCTTTAAAGTTAAAAAGAGATATGCTTGTTCATTTAATTTGACTGACAGACATTTACCACATATTCTTTCTTATGCTTCCAGAGCAAGGAGATAACTAGATAAAAGTGTTTCTGAAGATTTGTAATACAAAGGAGATTTGAATTTTTCTAATGTCAGTGCAAATCAGAGGTCATTTTCTTGGGGCTGACAGAACTGCACAGACGTAAGGAAAAGAAATGAATTATAATTTCCAGAGAGCACTTCACTGTTTTCATGAATATATCCTTTCTCATCTCCCTTATATTTGTTGCATCATTGCAGTCAGTGGCAGAATTAAGGTTGTGCAAATTTTTCTACTATGAACAAAACAAAACCAACCAACCAAAAAAGAAAAAAAAAAAAAAAGCAGAGCAAATTTGAAGGGTTAAGATTTATGTACCATTAATGTGATGGACAGTGATTGCCTGTTGCTGACCTTGGCCTTTCTGATATCTTTCATACAGAAGATTTCCTGCAAGAGAGAAAAATAAAATTGTGTGGTCAGAGGTAATTTTCCCTCATCTGCAGCTCCTTAGTTGTGACAAGGACAGTGTAGGAGGCAGGTCCAATAAAAGCACTGCTGGCAAGAAATTGTATTGAAGACTTCAGTCTTCAATAAACGTACACACATTCTGCCTCTTAATGTCTCTGTCATTCATGGTAATGCATCCACACTGGCTGTGCTTTCAAAAGTAGCTGCCCTTCGATGCTGTGCCTTCCCAAGCTGCCCAGCTGAAGTCACAAAGGGGAAACCCCCCTTAATTCCCTAGAACACAGCCCACCATCAACTTCTCCATGTTCCTCTCACCTACTAAGAAATGGAGACAGAAGGATGACTGGTTTTTACCTCTGCTTGTTCAGCTTTGGGAACTTAAAATGTCTTGTTCAGATCTGAAATTGTGTGCGGGGTTTTTTATTTCAGTTAAGCCTTATGTGCTCTCTCTGGTAGAAACTTCAAAGTTCTTTGGTACTTTTTTCTGAATCTTTTCTTGGAAACAGTACCACATATATTTCTTTAAGCCCTCTGTTCAAAAACCTGGAGATTACACATCATGTAGCAAAGGCTGTTAGACTTATCCTTGATATCTGCTTTTTGGTTTTTTGCCTTTTTTTTAGTGAATATATAAATACAGACATTTACTTCTTAAATAGGAATGAGCACTTATTAGTGGGTACTTATTATATTAATTAGAATGACTGCCAAGTTCATTTTGACTACAGAAATGCAAACCTTAAAAGAATACCTTTGAGTAATGTTTTATACTGAATATCACCTGATTTTTTTTCTGAGTTTGCCCATAGTAAAACAAGTGAAAAAAGTGAAGCATATAAGGCTAAGATAGATCACTGGAAATAAAACTGAAATGGGGGATGCAGGATAAGTTAACTGCAGTGATGTCACCCTGCTTATCAGATAGGAAAATTTAGGTGAGATGTTAAAGGTTTTCTAATCATGTGGAGCACATGCTGGTTATGGGAGCACAGAAAGAAAGAGAGCTTTCTTTGACACCATGTACTCATTCCTCACATTGTTTTGATTTTAGAAGTCTGAAGTACAGAAGTAAAATACTGGATCATGTGTATTTTGTATATGTTGAAACTTTGCTATAAACTTTCTCACTTGCAAGAGATCACACCAAAGTTTCATAATGACAAATACATAGTTGTGGCTCTGTTTCCAGTACCTCTGTATCTTGGACAAATAAATCTGTTTACAACATATCTGACTAATAATTAACACATGCAGAGTCTTCCTGGAAAACTGTAGTCTGCAGCTTTCTGTTCAGATTTCTTTCTGATTGCTGACTGGAGGTACTACCTCTAGAGTAAATGCACACTTGCTGAGAAAGTGAAGGGCAAAAAGCCTCAAAAGAGGCTCCTAGAGGCACAAGAATGTGGCACAAAATTCAGATATTGCTCTTATACTGCATTGCCAGTGAAGTTTCAATGACAAAACGTCTTGATTCTAGAAGAGGTTTCCCCCAAGGAGTTTACTCTGTAAAAGACAGTGGTTCTGCTAAGTGGAACAGGATTACCAGGAGTCTGTATCAGGGAAGTTCCTGCAGGATACGAGGCTGTTGCACAGGAAGAGATGATGACTGCAGCTTCACCATTGTCTCCAGAGGAGCTATATGTTACTGTGACCAGTACTGCACCTCGGGCTCTCCTGGGCCTGTCGACTGCTGTACTGACTACTGGGATGTCTGCAACCGCCCCGTGGAGCCCACCAGGTCAGAGGAGCCTTGGCCACCTCCAGCATGGGGTAAGTGGGCAGAAAATGCTCAGCTGGCTTTAGTGCATCACAGTGAAAATACACATAGAAGTAAAATCCTGAAAAACTGACTCAAGTCATAGTGGACAAAAACACTGACCGTGAAACTGGAGTGAGAATTATACTTGCTGTTTTTTCTTTGTCTCTAGGACATTAGCATTGATTTGATTGGTTCTCTTGGACAGAATCCCTGTTTTATTTGAAGTTTATCAAATAACCTAATTGGGTCAAAATTAGTGTAAACTGAAAAATTTCAATAGGGTTCCACAGATTAACATGAGATGAACAGCAAGCTCTAAATATTAGTACAAACAAATAATCAACAAAACTGAGGGTTATCCTGAATGATACTGCCCTGAGATGTTCTGCAATGTTTTCGATTCAGCACAGCTTTCCTGTAGGGCACTGTTTTTCTGGCAACGGCTCAGGTACAGGACTAAATGAAGGGATGTGCTTAGAACAAGGAGTAGGTGAAGGGATGTATATAGAAAAAGGATTTGTGGCATGTTTTAGTTCCTTACAAGTTAGTTTGCAGTGCAAGTCCTTCCAGGACTACTGTAAACTAAATCTAATTATTTTTATCACTAAAGATTAAAAAAAAAAATTTTTTTTCAAACATCTGGTCCTCCCTTGGCTTGTGGATAGGCCAAATCTCTGCTGGTGGAGAAAATTTGGTATTCTCTACATCTTTGGCCAGCTTCTTACTGACAGTACACCAAATCTGGCCAAAGATGTAGAGAATGTACCAAAGTTTTAAAAGCCTAAAATCAATAAAATACTACTGTGATTTTTAAAAATTAACTCTTTTTAATAACCTTGCTGCTTGCAGTTCAGCACTTAGAACACAAGCCCTTCAGGAGGCTGTGCTCTTAGGTGTGCAGCCAAAATCTGATAAGTGGGAGTGACAGAAATGCTGCAAAACAAATTTAATTTTCCAAAGTGTTTCTAACCATTTAAAAGAATTTTCTAAGGCTCTGTGTAAATAAAGACATTTCTTTTCATTTTTATTTGGTGCAGTGATGTATATTATTTTTGACATGAGATTTTTGTTGTAGGCCCTACTTAAACATGCAGTTGTATTTCTGCCTACAGCTGAGAGCTGGTGAGTCTACTTTGGCAAACTGTCTTATGGAATTGAATCATTACAAAACCTGCAGCAGTTTGCCACATGGTCACTGCCACAAGTCTATCTCTAAAAAGTAGAAGTGTAACAGAAAATTTAGATAAGGGAATAGGTGAGGGGTGATCTTTCTACTGCTTTCTTAATCCAATTTTTTGCATTTGTGTTAGCTGTTTGCAACTCCTAACATACCTGCCAGGGGTAGCAATTATATTTAAAGTAGCTTTACTTGTCCTATAATTGTTCTTATACTATTTTTTAATATATCATCTTTAAAAAGATGGAAAGTATGAATTTTTTAAAAATCTCTTTAGTGGATATTCATTATGTGAGTAATTTAGAGGGTAAAAGATGAATAATAAAGCGAAAATTAAGCAGGGGAAAAAAGGTAACAAACAAAACCATCTCTAAAGAATCGTTATAAAACTGGAATATCTGAGGAATTGGAATGAAAAAAAGGAGAAACAAGTAGAACTAAATGCCTGAAGATTAAGAAAATTAGGAAGCATCATTAGAAATGACATAAGTATGCTAGCTGACTTTTAGCAAATGAGACTGCACTTCTGTCTTAGGCTAAGAATTATTTAAGCACTTGAAGACCACATGTGCCAAAGTATTTTTTACCTGGAAGGTCTTGATCTTTTGGTTGCCAGAGGTTTTGCTCTCAGAGCCTCCTGAGTCACAGTTCTTTAAATAAACCAATAAAGTGAAGTGTTTTACATAGGCTGGAATGTACAGCAATAAAACTGCTCAGTGGTTTATTTCTGGATCTCCACATATACACTGAGAGGCTAAAGCAGAAACACTGTGACTTCTTGCATGTGTGTGCACCATGCTGGGGGTCAGTATTGATTTAATTGTGTGGAACTGCTTTGACTCTGCCTTTATAAACCCAGCCTTCAGTTTGTTTCTATGGCTTTCATGTGTAGTTTCAGAAGAAACTGCACATTCCTGCCTTAAATACCAAATAGAAGTTCAGGGTCTTTTTATTATAGTTATATTTTAAATTCTGTTGTTAGAAGAACTTTTTGAGTTTTATCTCAGGACTTTATTTATTATTTATTTTATCTCTTTGTTTCAGTTATTCTGGTGGTACAAAAGGCCCCATGAAAGCCCACACACTGGGTCTCACCCTGTTGGTGGTGTAAAAGTGACATCCAGTGAGTTTGCTGATTGCTTTTACATGACAGATGTGATCTGACCTACAAGGGAGTAAACCTAGAGATATTTCATGGACAGAAATACTCACACCAATGCTGGGGACAAATTAAATAAGAACCATTAAGGGTATATGAATGTTGGACTGTGAAGGAAGTCACCATTTCTCAAATTTTCTTCTTTCCAATAATGATTTTCACATCATAAAATCTCATTCACAAAGTCATCAAGCTGCATCTTCAAATTAATTAATTTCCTACTTAATGTATTAATATTCCAACCTAATACATTCAGAGCCAGACAACCTCACTGTATTCTCATGTGTCCTTTAGCTTAGAAAACTCTGTTTTCTCACTGATGCCTCAGGCAGTACTCTTGGCCCACAAAATATTAACTTGGCTAGGCTAAAGAAACTGCATGGTGTTAATTTTCAATTCCCTAAGCATAAATCATTGTAAAGCTGCTTCTGTATTAGTCCAGGTTTGCCTTTTATCTTGGGCACAGGCAGTGAGCCCTGCCAGCAGAGCTCCAATGAGGGGCTGTTCCATCTCTCAAATGCTGCATCAATACTTCTCTTGATACTTTTGAAATAACTTGCTTGATCCTCCTTCCAGCTACTGTCTGATGCTGACTTAGTTACATACTGTGACAAACTATGGCACTTTGGTAATTTGCTTTGAGTATTCTGTGAAATATACCTCAGCTCTTAGCTGACGTTGGATTACAGCAGACACTTTGGGCCTCAGACTGCCTTGGCGGGATCTATTTTACCTGTGCTAGCTCCCATAGCCTGCTGAATTAACAGCAGGGAAATAAAGGCATTTATAGTTAATACTCACTTAATAATCACCTCTAGTTCCACTTTGTTATGTAATCATGTAGGGCTCAGAGTGTGTTTCTGTCCTGGCAAGGAAGGAGGTGCAGGCCGCTGAGGGTGGAGTGTGTGTGTGCCTGGGCAGCCAAACTCCAGCCCTGGCCATGAGAGGGGCACAGCCTCCCTCACACTCCTGCTGGGGAAAAGCAGGGTACCATGCCAATTTGCAAGTCAACACCATGTTAGAGCTTCTTGAGACTGGAGGAAAAGATCGGTCTGCCTTCGGCTGGATGGGCTGCCAATCTCACCCTCCTGACTTGGACTCTGCGCCGTCCAAAAAGCGGCGAAGTCAGAGGAAGCTGGAAGTCCCAAAAGCTGACATAGTCCACACGTGAATTACCAGCTGCTTCATGGGGTCTCACACCTCATAGGAGAGGTGGGCACCAGTTGTAAGAATCCCTGTCTGGCGGGCTGTTTGGGTCCAATCTGGCTAGCTATGGACCCCAGCCCACACCATCTTACATGGACAAAGGCAAAAGATGAGAAGCGCTCTTCTCCACATGGGGACAAAATTCCTAAATTTATTTCCTTGATAGGAGACACCAGATCATCCAGGTGACCCCCCCAGGTGAAGACAAAGAGAGCGATGCCTCATGGCGGGAGACTTTTAAACCTGGGGGAATGGGAGGTGGGGGAAGAGGACCACAGCCAATGGGATACAAGTGAGGAGTGGGCAAGGGGAGGAGTAAACCTGGGACAAAGCAGTTTAGTGCAAGCCCAGGCCCTCTCAGCAGGGGAAGAAGCATGGTGTCTGTAGGCTCAGCTGTCAGAACAGGCTGGAAACACAGAGCCGTGTGATAAATGCACGGTGCTTGCTCCTGACTCAGTCCAACACCATGTGCAGGCCTTCCGGATCGTTCTTCCACTGAAGCTTTGACAATCAAATGCACCGATGAAGCAATTTATGTGGGAGATACTGAAATGCACACAAAATCTTTTCTCAGTGAAGTGTTACCAAATAAAAAAAAATGAGAGGGATGTATTTTTTTGGAGAACTCATCCCTCACTTTACGTTTCATGGTGGGTTTTGGAGGGTGCATGAAACATACATTTGCCTTGAAGTGCAATTGATCTGTCTGTTTTTAAAGAGGAATTAATCTGGCAAGGAAAAAGAGTTTATTACAATACTTTTGGAGTATTCACTAGTTTTATAAATTCTATACCTGTAAAAACCTATTTCTATTTTAATTGTCAATTAGAAAATAATCTTTAATAGAAATATTTTCTTTTTAATATTGGGAAATAATTTTATTTGAAGAACTTTTTATTTATATATAAGATAGTAATTCTTCACTGGGTGTTTTGAATCTGATGCTGAATTTATTTACTATGAAGGATAATATATTTTCTAAAAAAAATAAAATACATTAAACTGGCTTCATTACTTGGAAGAAACTGGAACCATATTGCTGACTTTCAACTAAATAATTCAAGCATACTGCATAAAACCAATTAATACAATAGTAGCAAGAGTTTTCAGTAATTCACTTGAAGAATTATTTTATTTTCACACATCTATATGTTATGTTGGCAGGTTGTTATAAAGATGGCCGATATTACGGAGAAGGAACAATAATTAAAGACAACTGCAATTCCTGGTAATGTTTCAGAGAACTGCAAATTGAATTTTATCTAGTTTATGTCATGAAACAGGAATTAAGGAAGAGAGCAACTTTAAATTCATACTAAACATGTAATCAAATCAAAATGGCTGCAAAAGTAGTGCTAAGTACTAAGGTTTTGTGGAGGTAGATTACAGTCAATTTAGAAGAACAGCAAGAGGGAAACTGAAATTTCTAATCAAGATCTGAGTATTAGACTATTCAAATCTCTTCCTCACAGGCCTAATTCTGTTTCTGCTCAGTCAAACCTAAATTGAAATGGTTTCAGTCTAGACCTGGGCATTGACCTGAATGCAGATCAAATAAATATAAAAAATATAATTAAATTTTATTGAATCCTTCCTCCTTGGTGTTTTTTATTTTTCTTTAATGAATTATGAGAACTTATATGAACCTGTAAGGAAAGGATATATATATACATACATACATACATACATATATATATATGTATATATATATATTTATGTGGAAAGGGGTGAATTGTTTGAGCACCCCTTTCTCTGCCTTGGGACAGAAGCAGACAGTGCAGGCAGGTGAGTTTTGCTGTCAGCCCTGGCACCTGCCTGCCTGGGCTTTGCCTCTCCAAAAACCAGCCCTACCCTGGAGTAGGAATCCCAGGGCTCCAGCCCCACCCAAACAGGGCTGGAGTTCCCACTGTGCTGACTTTAGTCCAAGGTCCTTGGAGCACAATGTCTGGGGCCATAAAACCCTTCCTGGGTTTCCAGAGTAAAACTTCCTCAAAACATCACATTTTTTCAGGAATTCAACATCTACGTTACATTCCCTGCTTTGGTCTCCCAAAGATGGAAGCCAAATGTTTCAGATATGACCTTTCTCATAAACTGTAAACCTTCCCACCTTGTTCCAGCTCGTTAGACAATGAAGTAGGAAGAAATGATCCTATGTTTTCATAAACTGTCTGTGACAATTATATTGTTCACACGTTTTTCCCCCTTCCATCTGCCTTCTGCTGTTAAAGTGCATATTTTTCCTTTGACAATTCTTTTTTTTTTTTGTTTAATGATATTCTTGTCCTTTCAGCAAATGTTTCAACAGTCTCTGGAAATGTTCAACAGACGTATGCCTTGTTCGCCAAGACTTAATTCAGCACATCAATTCTGGAGATTTTGGGTGAGAACCCTTTTATTTAAAAGTTTTGTTATGCATCACAGTATTGCTCATTCTGTGTATGTGCAAATAACAAGGTATGCACTCTTCCCCACCCCTTCTTTCTCCAAATACATTACAGCAATTTGACAGTAAGTATGCATTTGTGAAACTTTCCAAATCACTGGCAGATTATAAAGCTTTAAATGGAAAGATACTGAACATCTCATGCTGGTAAGAGAACATCTGCTGTAAACATCTATCCAAAATATTGTCCAAATTTAGAACAATTTCTTTTCTCTCAAAACAAGATTTGCATCATCTTCCCCTATTCTTCACTGTGTTTATTACTTGGGATAGATATTTAAAGTAATTTTTTCCTGCACCCTTGAGAGCACTGTTCCATGTAACAGGAATCTATGTAGCACTGGAAGTGGAGAAGATGGGTGAAATGGGGATCAATCATCAGAACTTGGGAGGCTTGGTGTTTTTCTTACTAACAGTCTTGTTCCTGTGGCTAGTGCACAGAGATTAGGGACCTCAGTACTGGATCTGTGCCTTGGGAGCCTGCTGGCTGTGTACAGACAGAGATACAGGGGCAGCCTCCCTAGATCTGGGGTGCCAAATTCACCAATGAAGCCTGGGCAGATTTCAAGCTGTCAGGAGTGCTGAAACATTTTGTACTTCATGGGAGGCATTTAAAGCAACTGAATTAAGATAAAAAACCAAGTTAGGCCCCTGTCTCTTGTCAGTTCTAACCCTTGAGATTTATCCTAGGGTGACAGGTGAGATATGACTCAACTTCTCCATGTGTTTGCACTTTTCATTGACCACAGGGAGACCAAGAGCAATGAGACTTTTTTGGGCAATATAAATCCCACTCCTTGTTCTTACAAAAGCAAGAAAGAAACTGGTAAAGTCTCTCCCCTGTCACTCAGCCCTTATCCAGTAGTAAATTTCAGTATGTTCCAAATGTGTTTTACGGGATAGCTCCTCCCGGGGGGGAACTCCTGGGCAGGTGCTGGCAGAGCGACTCCTTCGCGGATCCCGGAGGAGCGGCCGCTCAGCCCCCTGTGCGCGCGGTCCCGGATGGTTATCGTTTGCGTGACCAGTGTGAAGGAGGGCTTGAGACACCAGCATAAATCCAACTGGGTTTATTTCAGGGAGGTCTGAGGGTCCAAAGAGGGAGGGAAGCAGGGGTACCACTGCAGCCGAAGGGAGCCAGTGCCAGGGCGAGCTTGAGCCCCGAACCGGGGTGGGACTGGGGTTTATAAAGGGGAGAAGGTAGGCAGGGTCGGGGTACAAATCAACCAGTAGGGAGAGGGCTCAGAGGAGGGGACAAGGTGGGTTGATATGAGGTACACCTATGAAAATGTGGGGAGAAGGTGGTCTGCTTACAGAGTCCAATGGGGAATAGGAGAACATTGAACTTTCTAGAACTGGGGAGGGAGCCACGGCTGATTGACATTTAGACAGGAATGTCTTCCCAAGGCATCCCCACCCCATTTTCCCTGTGCCCTCCTCCCACAGTGTATGGCTGCAAGGGTGGTTTTCTTTGTGTTGTGCATATAGTTTGAAAATCAACATTGCAATCTGAGTTGGGTCCACCTGAGAGTAGCAAGGGAATACTTAGAGAATCATGGGGAGCCCTTTCTCTCACAGTGGCTATTGGTATAAAACTGGGGCAGAAGGTGTCAGCTGGACTTTTTGCTGGGTTCAGCAGTATCTCTCTTCTGGTGCACCAGAGCTTGAAGGTGCACTGCAACTCACAACACAAGGCTGCTAGTTCTCTGTGGGAATCTGGGCTGGAACATGACTTGAGCACAAGTTCAAGAGAATAGCAACATTTTGACTGAGTGTCTCGTTTGCCAGTACTGCTCTGAATTATTGCACATTCATGTCCTGCAGGCTGATGTGATGCTGACTCCAAATCACCACTATTCATATACTGCTGTGTTGCTCCATCCTGCACTTATCTGCAGTGGAAAAGTCCATAGCAATTATTTTCTTGTACATATTGAATGCAAGTTCTTGAAATGCAATTTCAAAAATTTATTTCTGGATGCTTTTGCTGTTGTACTCTTACATGAGCAACGTGTTAATGTGAGTGTTATCTCTAACCTGGGTCTTGCTTTTTGGTTTTCATCTGTGAGGAAGATGGAAAGCTGACAACTACAGTCAGTTCTGGGGAATGACAGTGGAAGAAGGTTTCAAAAAGCGCCTGGGCACTTTCCCTCCATCTCATTCTTTGCTGAATATGAGAGAAGCTCCTGTAAGTGTCATGTACACTTGTTAATTGTTTTAAATAACTTTATCACATAGAAAAGTAAATGTGGACAATTATAAGAGTGTGATTCAGGGTTTTGTCACTAAATGTTTCCATGTTGAATATGATATTCCTGGAACAGTTCTATAAGTCATAGAATGTCTGGCCCTATTGACAGAAATCAAATAAGAAGGAGCAAAAGAAAATCCTAATTACTGTGAAGCTCTGCAGCAATATTAATTTATCATTGTAGTTCACTTCCTCAAGAGGGCTCCATATTAATTCTCTCCATTTGCTAATCATGGCAGACACAGCTGTAACCACTGAAAGATACATCTGGGCATCGTTCATTAAGGCAAACATCTGAGACTAAACAGCAATATTTGACAGAAGCTGTGAAAGCTTTTTTCAGGTTTTGAACAAATGGACAGCAGAATTGTGGGAATCATTGCAAAATGAAGTGGTTCTCTACTACCAGCTTTCTAAATCCCTTGGCCATGACAATTTTTTTGACAGCTAAATTGAATTTCCTATCATTTATTTATGCTGAAATTAGTTTGGCATTGAAGCAAATATACTTTAAGTTATGTACGTTGATAAAGCAATTTAAGAAAAATACAAGTTATTGAATCCAGAGTGATTTTGCCAATGCTTTGGATCAGTTACTTAGTTTCTTTCTTAGAGGACACAATTTATGGAGTTCACAGACCAAAAAAACCATGCCTAACTAGCTCACCAGAGTGAAATTAGAAGTGAAAGTATAAACAGATAGATCCAAGGTTTGCAAAAGTGTTAAGTATAACAGGTGTTTATCTTTGCCTTCAATATAGCTCAGGCAAGTGATGCCATTTCATTATCTGTTAGAAGTCAATTGCTGATGCTTGTTTATGTGTTGTTTCTACAATCCAAAGGAAACTTTCCAAACAATATTAAAGGTGATAATATAAAGAGCAGTTCTTTAATGAAAGCTTTCAGGTGCACAAAATATCTTGGGCATGCCTGATATGGGATTTCCACAGATTTTGTAAGTTTAATTAATTAAGATATCCAGCAAGTACATCCTATAGGAGACCAGTTGCTCTGGTAACCACCCTTGGACCTGATCCTCAGTGTCTCTCCAAGGGGTTCTCAGCTCTATATTTTGTTATTTCTCCTGTGTGCTGGTGCAAAACAGGGGTGTTCTTGTTAGAAATGCTTTTCTTGAAAATAAGAATATTTCTTTAAATAGAATTTCAAGAAGGTGGCATAAATGTGTGAGAAAGGATGATCTACTGTTCTGAAGTGTGAGAAAGCATGAAAAATTATACAGCTGCATATTAAAAATCTACAACGTTGCAAATATATATATATATATATATATATATATATATATATATATATACACACATACATATTTAAAGCTAAAAATCTTTAGGCATCAGTGGCAGAAGGGTTTCCACATGATAGAATGCACCGTGGTGACAGAGTGCAGAGCTGCCTCTTGAATGGGTTTTGGGGAAAGAAGGCACAGCCTCTGCAATAATTTGAGCAGTCCTAACCCTTTTGCTTGATTCAGACCATTCTTGGTGACACACAATGCCAGCTCCCTGCACCAGTAGAGTGAGGCATTGTGCTCAGGCCCAGATTGGCCAACTCAACCAAAATTACACTCTGAAGGGTTGCCAGAGCAAGAAGTGGACAGGAATTAAGCTTTGGAGTTTTGCCTTGTAGGATTTTCTGGACTACTCTTGGCAGCCAAAGAAGGATCATTTGATTTGAAGATGGCAGGTCAAAATAAGACAATGACATAAAATAATTTAACTAAATTTAGTAGGTGTCTGCCTTGAGTTACCAGTGAACTGCACTGAGGCTCAAAAGAGTTGGATTGATTTGTTGTTTTTAGCATTTTCCTTGAGGGATATAGTGTGAAGCTTATATAGCACAGGCAAAAATTGGATTTCATGTACCCAGCCCAGAGACTGACATCTCCATTGCTAGGTATCTAGGTAAGACAAATCCCACCTAGGAAAACAGGAAAGGGGAAGGTTTCAAGAAATTCTTCATGATACTTCCTTTCCTCTGTTCAGTAGCTGCTGTTTACTCAGTAGTCCTGCATTATATCCAGCTTATTGAATAATTGTTATTAAGCTTCCTGTAGCTAATTTACCTGGTACACTTCTCACAGCCTTTGTTCCACAGATGCATTTTTCAGTCATATTTTCTCTGTCTGCTGTTTTATGAAATCTATGAGCCACAACCCAACTCCCTTTGGCACTGCCAGACACCCAAGGAGATTCAATGCATTTTTCTCCAGAAATCCAACTTGGCACATTCATGCATTTAGTCATCATGAGACTTCCTTACGTGTTGCTGGAATCACGTACCTTTCACAGCATTCTAGGAAATCTTTCTACTTGCAAAAGCTAAAAATATAAAATAATACTCTCCATGTGACTTTCTCGGCTTCTGCAATATTCTTAGGGAAATCACAAACTTCCTGAAGTTGCTCATAGGGCTTTTAAAAGTTCTCCTTTTAATAAAAGACTTTACCTGCTCAACATGGTGATACTTTTTTCTGGAAGGGAAGTTTATCATAATGGTACATTAGAACACCCAAAAGACAATGATATGGAGCAAGAACCAAATCTGAACTGAGGACCCTCTGTTGCACAGTATGGCTGGACCTGGGTATAGACTAAGAGCTAAATGCAGCACTAAACCTGTTTGCCTCCTGGAAAAGCTGAAAATCCTCCATCTGAGAAGGCATTTTCACTGCAGGAGACAGTGCAATCATTCTTGAAGTTCCATGTAGCACAAGAATAATTGCAACACCTTTAAAAACACTGTGATGCACTTTTGGTGGTATTCTGTCAGCACGAGTTCTGGCAAGAGGTACATTGCAATGGTAAGATCTGCACCCCCAGCAACAAAGTGCTCACCTGAGTGCCATCTTACAAGAAGATGAAATACATAATTCAGTAATAAGGCACCATTTTCTCAATAAATATCAAGAGGCTCAGAAAAACAATTGAAAAGTAGACAAAGTACAGCCTCTGTTCCACTGGTATATGGCTTTTCACAGTAAAAGGCCTCAGCAGTTGTAGTTCTCTTGCAAATTGAAGGTCATTCATGCCCATTTGGTCTTCACAAAGCAAGTGATGTCCAGGATCTTTTTGCTACATTTAAAAAAACCCAAAAAACAAAAAAAAAGCTATTCCACAGGGAAACTATTTCCACATTTGCAAACTCAGTTATCTTTGGCCTTTTCCCTCTTATTGGTCATCTATCTTTTCTGAAGAATTCATTGTTGAAATTCGAGTGCTCTTTTATGTCCTCTTACCTTCCTGCTTTAGCCAGGCTGCTAACTTCACTGCAGAGAGTACATATAAAGGTTTAAAAATAGTTCACCAGTCATTTTGCTGATTGCTTTGTGCTGTCTGATGCTGGTCCATGGAGCATACATTGAGAAACAGTTGTCTAGACTTGATATTTGCCATAGACCAGCAGCACTTCTCAATATCAGGGTAGAAACTTTTTCAGAGAAAAGGCCAATGTTTTTGGCTACAGATCAGTCCTATATTTCTAAATGACAAGGCTGAGGGTTAATGAGAAATTTGCTCTGGGATTTACAATTGGAGGCTAATAAATACATTGACAATAGGTTAGGAATACAGAAAGCAATACATTGTCAAAACTGGAGATCTATTTAGAATTTTGCTTTTCTCATTGGCCTCATTTGTAATGAGGCATCATAATGAGCATTATAAGCAGCCATTACCCACACAATTGTGCTAAATATTTGCCAAATTTTGCTTTTTTACTGGTTGTTAGTCTCATCATATAAAATAAATTCAATCTGTCTGGGATTTGTCCTGTATGTTTCATCTTCAAAGTAAATCTTGACTGCTTACTCACTAATAATGAACATAATGATAATTTGTCAAGTTATTATTTAAATTAGTTGCTGCTTCCTGAGTGTCACTTGATGTTGCAAGTCCCATGTATATAAAACTATGAAAAAGCAGTCTTTGAAACTGATTAAGCAAAATAATGAGATTAATATTTTAGCAAGGTTTAAAAAATTTTTGGCCTTGTATGGATGGAGGTGAGACTTTCAAAATCATTGAAGTGACCTAACAGTTTGCAGTATTCCTTCGTGGATTCAGGACTCACAGCCTGCATCTAACCTGCTCAACCTAGTACCAGTGGGTCTGGGAAAACACATGGACTGTATCAATTTGCCTGTTGAGGCTGTATCCCAACCTAATGTCAGATATAGACCTGAGGAACAAGCTTCCTTTTTCCTCACCCACTCTTTCTCAGCTGGGGATTCTCTGTGGCAAATCCAGGTGCAGAAACTGAATGGAGGCGCTGCTGTTTCACAGTGTACACAACAGTGATATTGATACAGGCAAAGGGCTAAAATTTGGTTCTCCAAAAAGTCCTAAAATAGTTTGAAAGAACTGGCCTCAAAAAGTTTAAATAATCTTAGCAAAAGGTATGTTTTATGATTATGAATCATGTAAACAATTTAGAAAAATGTTTTAGCAAGGGTACCCAGAATTTAAACAGGATAGAAGCCATTGTGCTTCACAATTTCAGCTTGCTTATGAGAAAGAAGCATCAGTGAGTATTTTGCTCAGGAACAGATTATCTTATTTTGTATGTTGTATTTCCTTCTGGAACTGAGGTTATCAAGAAGTTTTTGAAACAGACTGATTGCATGGCCTAATACTGCAATTCTCTGTGGCTATTCCTATTTCCTTGCACAGCATAATCCATCATTCCATGAAGTTCAACAGTAAAAAAAAAAGGGTCAATAATTTTGCTATGTTGAACACCGAGCAGATTATTAGCAGTTGTACCAGATGGCTCTTGCATATGCAAATATTTGTTCAAAGCTTGGAGGACTTTGGAGGAGGACATAAATTTAGGCTGCAAGATGAATTAGGCTGGCCAAATTGCTTTAGTGAGCAGATAATGAATTTTCATGAATTCACTACCAAACTGAAAAGTAGAAGAAAAATAACTGATTTTTATTCTGGAAAAGGAATAATTGCTTCAGATTGAATAACGTCTATGTAAAAGACAAATCAATTATACACTGTACTTATTTCTCTCCCACAGTGACTAAAATTTCCTACCTACAGCCACGTGTCTGGGAAAACAGGGTAACAGGTATTTAACTTCAACTCTATTTGTAGCAGAGGGCTTTTCTTTCCAAAAATGCCAGCTGGGTCACACTTAGCAAATTTCATAGGGAATCACTGTTTGAGATAAAAATCAGAGAGGAGCTGGTCAGGTTATTCAGAATGGCAGTCTTGAAGCTCAGCTTTCCAACTCAGTTAATGGAATGCCAGAACCCTCCCGCTCTCAGGGGTCTGCAGCATCCAGCCATGAGGAGACCACCATGGAGTTGCTTGGGAAATCACAGAGGCCAATGCTTTAGGTTTCTTCAGTCTAAAAATTAAGAATTTTACAAACAAAATTACGATAAAATTTATGATAAAAAATAGGAAATTAAGCATTTACAGATCTTCTACATTTTGTTTTAGGGTGAGTCACTTCCAGAAGAAAAGTTTCCTGCAATCTTTTCAGCCATTTATGAGTGGCCTGATTGGATTCATGATCCTTTGGATCAGCGAAACTGTGGAGCATCCTGGGCTTTTTCAACCGCAAGTAATATTTCTTTTTGCTCCCTTTGAAAGTATCAGTGATGTTAGATGTGTAATGAAAATTGGAGTGGTTTGTAACAAAATTATATCAACTTGCTTTTCACCTTTTATTACCAAATAGGAACATTTAAAATTGCTCCAACTTTCCTTCTATACTGTCCCAAAATCTTTAAATGTCAATCTAAGCTGCAGCACTTTGCTTTTCATAAAATGGTGTAACATAAGCATGCGATCAATCTTTGTGACTTAATTTGGCCAGAGGGTCCTCACAAGTGCAGGTTTCTGCAACTGCTTCTTTAAGTCACAGCAGTCAGAAAAGGAAAGGAGCTTTAAGGTCAGCTAATCCCAGCTCCCTTAAAAAACCAGACTGAATGTGCTCTTTCTCTGATATATCTTATCCTCTGCAGTTTTAAAAAGAGAAAACCAAGAGAGCTTTTAACAGCTCTTTTGACAGATAACTGCAGAGATGAACAGAGATCACTGAGGGAAAGAATTTGCAGATATTGTGTCTAATTTTTCCTTTCTACAAACAAATATTTTAATTTTAATTTACATAATTATTTTCAAAGCTGTGTAGTGTGAGATGCCTTCACATGTTGTTTAGGTCCATCTAACGTTTTCAGTCAGAGTTTTCAAGATTAGTTGTTGCTCAATGAACAGACAAGCACTGCTGTATAATTTTTTTCTTACCATGAATAATTTCTGTAAGTACTCCAAAACTTTTTATACCTATGAAAATAAACTCATTATCATGGGACTTTGCAAAAGCACAAAATACAGTTGCCGCCTGACGTCAGCAACTTTGTTTTCTGAAGACTTCCTCAGAGTTCACCAAAGTTAGTGCTGATTTTGATGGGGATTTAGATTTCAAGAGATTTTTTTAGATTTTATTTTAAAATTGAAAAATGTGGGGCTAAAAGTACTACAAATAAAATTCAATCATAGCTAATGACTTGTAAGAGGCTTAATGATTGTTTCATTGTCATTTGATAAAGTAAGTAGAAGCACCTGAGTTTCACCCACAACTAAGTTAACCTAGTCTGCCTTTAAATCAGTTCATAAATATATAAGTACTAAGAATCATGATTATCTGATTGAATTCAGATAAGGTATCTATGTCTGAGGATTATTTTTGTGTAATAAGGGAAGGAGGTACAAAAAGTCCCGCATTTACACTTTAATATGTACATCTCCAAATATTCTTTGTAATAAAACCAAAATATACTTCCAGTCTTGAATTGTCTTCTTCCTAGGACTGCTCTTTTTTTTCTTGTTTCTTTCCCCTCACATAAAGGAAAGAAAGGTTGAAAAGAAAGCAAAGAGATTTAGAGATTCAGCTGCAGAAAATTGGGAAGTATTTGTTTCTTCTACTGAAGACAAGCAGATGTGAATATGTATTTACAAACATGATACAGACAATTATGCAAATATCTCATCTAATATTTGGGTATTTGGGACTTTATAATAGCCAGTAAATCTAGGAATTTGTCATATAACAGCAAAGTTGCTCATGATGCTTTGCAGTTTCACAATCTTCTCTCGCAAAAGTCTGGACAGATTATGTCAGTATTGTTTAGTGAGGATATATGCACAGACAGAAAATATTGAGGTGGTATTTCTATCCCTCTTTCACAAAAACAACTGCAAAGTTGTGAGTAAATACTTGATTTTGGTAACAAAAAATTTATTTTCAAACAGGTGTTGCAGCAGATAGAATAGCAATTCATTCAAAGGGTCAGATCACAGACAACCTTTCTGCTCAGAACTTGATCTCTTGTGATACCAGGAATCAACATGGATGCAATGGTGGAAGCATTGATGGTGCCTGGAGATATCTGAAAACACATGGGTAAATATTTTATCAGTCTGTTTAGATTATTTTAAATTGAAACAGTTGCTTAATTTGCAATAAGACAATACTGTAAATGTACTTAAAACTTCTGTGTTTCTTGGGATACAGGCTCTTTATTTCAAAAAACCTTGAGTAAGCAGCCAGTTGCATGAGACAACACTGTGAATATTCAAAAGAATCAAACATCTTTTCTCAATAAAGCAACTTGTAATCATCTCATTCCAAGGTTGTTCCAGAGTGCAACACTCTATTAAGGATTGTACCTAGATCCTTCTTCCTTCAGATCAGACTAAGCAGAGTTAAGAGCTATCAAATTTCCCCAAAAAGCTAGAAACTTTAAAATGGGATATAATCATTTATGGAATTACAAAATTATTTTGGTTGGAACTTTGGAGGTGACCTGATCCAACATTCTGTTCAAAGCATGACTTTAAAATTAGATCAGGCTATTTAGGCCATTTCCCTGGAAACATTTTGAGTATCTTCAAGGATGGTGGTTCCACAACGTTTCTTGTAGCAGGTCAGTTTTTTGACTAATGGTCAAACACTTTTTTCTTATGTCAGCGTTTTCCTTGGTAAGTCTTGTGACCGGTACCTTCTTTCCAGCTTTTCACTGTGCATCTCCAAGAGTTTTGTTCTGTCTCCTCTATACCTCCCCTTATGTAGTTGAAGACAGGAATGATATACTCTTTGGCTTTCTCTTCTCTAAACTGAACAAGTCCAGCTGCCTCAGCTCCAGTTCCCTAAGTGCCTTCCAATGGATTTGCTCAGTTTGTCAGTGTCTTTCCCAGGGAACACATAAGTGAAAATACAACTCCATCTGCTGAGTAGTAATTTGAGGGGAAGATTAATTTTCCACAATGTCTTGGTTATGTTCTTGGTAACACAGCCCAGTATTGACCAGCCACATTTGCCAAGAGCGCTCACTGCTCACCTACATTCAATTTGCTGTTTCTCAGGACCTCATGTCCTTCTCTGTTAAATGACTTTCTACACTGGCAGTGCCCTGACAGTACCTGGGCAGTTCTGGCTCAGAGGCAGGGTTTGCCATCTGTCTTTGTTGAAATTCAGGATATTTCTGTCAGGCTCATTTCTTTAGCCTATTAACACTGCTCTGAACAGCAGCCATGCATACAAATCACTCCCTAAAAGTTTTACATTCTCCAAAAACTTGCTTAAGGTGCCTTACATCTGGCTGTCCAGATTGTTAATAGACATACAAAAGTGTTGCTTTTGTGTTGTCTCCTGGGGAATGTCAATAACAAACAGACACCAGTCACTTTGATCTGTTGATGCCATTCAACATGCCAGTCCACAACTGACCTTGTAAATGATTTACCTAGTCCAATAAACTAGAGGAACACTCACTACAGCAACCTATGCTGAAAATGTCACAAAAGACAAGGTAAATGATAGGTATTGCTTTCCTTATTCTCTCTGGAGCCAGTAATTTCATCATGGTCAGGCTGTCTCATCATATCATCATTACCTGTCATGGTAAATCCACACATCCTGCTTTCAGTCCACTCCTTGAAGTCTGTATGCCTGGAAATGGCTTCCAGGAGAAGTTCAATAACTGCATTTTAGATACCATATAATAAAATCGTGCTGTTTCTCACATTACCAGAATTTTTTTATCTTTTCTGTTCCGTACCAAAATCTATTTCCTGTCTTGCTTTTGTACAATCTCACCCCTTACTCTGATATATCTGAAAATGACAGAGAGGGATCTCAGGTGTTCTCTCTGTCAACTTTTGATTTTATCTATAACACAAACAAACAAACCATGTCAAGAGCAGAAGAATGTCAGATGTGATGTGTTGACATGGCACTCTGGGGATCCAGGAGAAGACCTGTCACACTATACAAGTGACAATTCTGCTTTCTGCAAGTGTATCAAACTATTTCTGATATGACAAGGGCTTTGTATTGTTATGAGGAGAGTTTACTTCGAGTGCTCCTCTATCTTTTTCTCTCAGGGTTTCAACACTAAACTGGCTTTCATTTAGGTTTTAAGAAGGAGATCCTTCAGCTGAGTGATTAGCAAAGGCCCCTTAGCACCTCAGGAGCTAAGGGAAGAGGTTTCATTAATGAAGAAATGAAAGTTATAACTTGACATTTTAATTTTAAGCACTTTTTAACTGCAATACTTTTCTTTAACTAGAAAAACAGTTTCATGGTACTCAGTAGTTCATGTTTTTATGAGAGTAATTGCAACACTTTGAACGGTTTTCTTGCCTGTTAAAAACAGGAGCATGAGAATTGCTGGTATAGATAAGAGAATTTTTATGAGCATTATCTCCAGAACAGTTAGAGCATCTTATTTTAGAGGAAAAGCTGTAAAGAATGCAGTTACAAGACAATCTCCTAGTTTTCTATTCCCTCTGACTATTACCCCTGTACAGGCACAACTACCATGAGCCCCATAATAATAAAATTCTTCCTATGCCAGAATGTAGTATTATTTTGACCTGAGCACTGTGGTTAGTGACATGGCCTGTTATACAGAAGCAATTTTTAAGTATAAAAGAGTTAGTTAGCTTATTTTTAAAAGAAAAGCAAGGCAGGCTGAAGCTCTACAAGGGACTTCATTATCAACCTAGCTGTACCCTCGCAGGAGCTTGTTCTGGTGTAAATGCAATAACATTACATTTTTACAGCAGAGTGACAGTGTGTGCTGAGCAGGCTTTCTGTGAGCCTGGAAATACAGAGCCACAGCACCTCAGCTCACACAGCACATCTGTGAACTGTCTTTTCACCTTCACACTGCCAAGTACTTGCTTATTGCTCAGCCTCATGTTAGCCACCAGCCTCTTGCAGCTGATCATCTCAGAGAAGAATCTGAAGGGCAGTTGTGAAAACCATCATGAATTTTTGGAAGCTATCTAAATCTCCAACAAATCTCAGCAATCCAGGATTATTTTCTTAGTCATTTATTATGCTTCTTTTGTTGCCACAGAACTAGCTCCAGCTTGTACAACATCACTGTGCTATGACAGACCTTTGCTTGCTACCCATTTTTATCCCTGATCATTGATTTGTCATCAAAGTACCACACATGAAAGTATCCCTACTTACCTATTTTTATAAACATTTCTACATTCTGCTTTTCTTTCCTCAAGTTCAAATATTTCAAAACCCACTCTAAAATTTCCAGATGCAAATAAACAGATTAAGGGAAATATCCAAATATCTTTAGAATAGATACTGGAAGAACACATGAACAGCAGTTCTGGGTCCATCTAGCCCAATGTTAAGTCTCTGACAGTAGCCAAGAGCAAATAATATCAAGAACAAGAATTAAAAAAAAGTTTTGATTCACTGGAATAATAACTTAATCAGTTTTGTAGGTAAACCCCATAATCCATAACCTTTTACCTGTGACAATGCAAAAATATTGGAAATTTATGGCATACAAGTTAGAAGTGTCTTTTGAATGAGCCCTTTCAAATAGTGCTTGCTTCCACACACTTCCAGGTGACTTATTTTTAGGAATCGTTATATTGCAATCATTGTGTCATTATCTGCATACCCTGCAACAGGGAGAAAACACATTGATTTTCTGTGGGGCCTTGTAAATTATCACAGCAGGCATGCAATGCTGTTTAAAGTTTCTGCTGTTTTGATTTCTGGAGTGTGCTCAGCTCAGGTTTTTGACAGATTTTCAGAAAAATCAAGTGCTGACCTAAACTAACCCCAGTAAAGTCAGAAAAAGATTTCCATAAAGCTCAAGGAAGCTAGGCAAGTGCTGAGACCTGACTTTTCAGAATTACTAACCACCCAATTAACAGTGAAATCTGCTGTAAGTGGACCTGAAACACTGTTTAAATATCACTTTGTCTTCCTCCATTAATTAAATAATAAATATGTATTCTATTACTAATTATCATTAGTTTTAATTGTTTCAGTTACAAGTCATAATTTGGGAGAAATAAGTGTTCTTGAAAGCATCTATTTTAACTAATAAGAAAAACAAAAAGGTTATATTCATCAAGAATGAGGAAGAAACACTTCATTTTCAGGTGATATAAAAGTTAGACATGAATGTAAATAGTGCTTCCAACCACAATAGGGCTTCATCTGATTTGTACTTCAGGCTCTTGGCAGCTGTAGGGTATGAGAAAGATATTATTGTTATTATTGCAAATAACACAGTCTAATGTATAGGATTATTTTCTTATCTCACAATTCAAATATATAAATGCAATGAATCCACAAAAATTTCATTAGATTGAACACACAGACATGACTTCAAATGAATTCTGTCAAGAATGTATGAACACACTACAGAGTTTTCCTAGTTGGCCCTGGATTCTGCTTGTTTCTAACACTATTTTTGTATATATGTGTCTATATTTGTGCATATAAACATATTCACATATATTTCTGGTTTTCTTCTATGACTCTTTTGGAAAGGTCTTCTCCTTGAAGGGTTTTTGATGTTTACTGTAGTGCTGGTGCTTCAGCACATATGACATTGTACTTCAGCACATATGAAATTGTGCTTCAGCAGAAAGCTGTTCAATTGTGGTAATCAAGGCTGCAGAAACTGGTTGGTGAAAAGATTCAAACGTGACTCTTAGTTCAGAGATCTCATCTGGATTACCACTCAGCTCCAGTGTGCTACTGTATGTGCTCTACTTTGGGCAGAAAGAAAAAGATTTCTCAGATTTTCTATCACCAAATGCTAATGGTGAAATGTGATTTCTTATTCAAAACAGCTGAAGGATATAGGGGCTTATCTTGTAAAACTCCTGAAAGCTAAATATACACTGTCAAGTGTAGTTATACTCCATATAGTATAGAAATATAGTTTTCAATTCCTCAGGTTCAGAAATTCCAGTATAATTGATGAATACAAATGTTTTTTATAGGAGTGACTATTTTAAAGTATTCTGCTTCAGCAAAATATTTGATTATGCTCTGTAAAAGAAACCCTCTCCTACGCCTGCATGGCATTAATGCAGAAATGTGTATATTGTTTCAGGAATGTCTAACAGTATTCCACGTATCCCATTTCACAAGCCATTTTTGATAAATTAAGGCCATTGACAACATTGGTAATTTATTGATCTTTTTCAGTGTGAGCTTTCATGTATCATAAATGAGATGAATGTACCAGGTGACAATTACTAAACACATTTTTTACCCTCTCTTTGGAGAAGGGTGGGAAGAGGACTACTGTAATGGAAACTTAATCATAAATATCATGTATATTAATTAAAGGAAATGCCATCCAGCTGAAAATATGCCATCTACATTTCTGAAGAGTATTACTTGAAATACAACAGTTGCAAAATAATTAAAAGCTTGAAGTAAAATGGCAAAAATTTTTGAGTGAGCTTCTTATCAACTCTTTTTTTTTAACTACCTGAACAGGGTTGTATCATATGCTTGTTATCCATCATTTTGGAACAAACACCTGGGGCCATCAGCTGAAAATCAGTGTTATGTGTCAAGTGAATATGGAAAAAACCATACAAATGGGCCATGTCCCAATGCTTTCGAAAAATCCAATCGGTTATACCGGTGTGCCTCTCACTACAGGGTGTCCTCAAAAGTAAGTTAATGAAATTCATCTGTTGTCTCAACAATTTTACTCCTTTGAGGTTTGATTAAAATATGTTCACTTAACTTCAAGACTAGAGCTGTGAATTTTCCTTTATGTTGCCCTTGAATTTTCCTATGAGTTGAAATTTTTTATAGTTTCTCAGTTGTACATCATCTCTTTAAAGTTGATACTTTGTGGTCCCATAGAAATTTGAGATAGAAAATAAAGTATGCAGTCATAACAGTGCAGTTCTTCTCAAACATGTTTCTGAAGGCTTTGTTAATTTGGTAAACCAAATATTCTCCAGGAGAAAAACAAGTACAAGGGCATACTTATACTATATATGTGTGCACACAATGATAAACTAGTATGAGTTTTAATTTTATTTAATAAATGTTATCTTCCCTTGCTCTCTCTGTTGCTGCTCTCACCTCCTGTCAGGAAACTGATATAATGAAAGAAATCAAGGAGAGAGGACCAGTGCAAGGTATGGTAAGTTTAAAGGATGATAGCATTATTGAAATAGTTAGACTTTGCAATGACCTTGTACCAAAATATTAGAAAATGCAAATTACATGCCACAGTGGAGAAACAAGTCATATGCACTGCAGTCCATCCAGGGACATTTGGTGGGTAAATAGTGCCCCTAAAGCAGCATGGCTGCATCAGAACCTGTAAAGAGTAAAATGACCATGAACTGGATACGTTGAAAATTTGTGTAAAATGTGTGTGCAGGAAATCTGTGTGCATTTTTTCATGACAGTTCTTTGGTCATTGGTGAAATAGCAATTTATGGAATTAAATGTTAGCCAGGCTCGGATCTATAGGGCTGGGGTGGATTCCCCCATGGCTAAGGCCAGCCCACCAGACCTGCTCTCCTCTGAAGGTAAAGCTGAACTACATGGGACTTCCAGCAAATCATTCAGTACTGAAATACCCTAGAATTTCTCATTTCAGAGCCCAAATGCTCTTGTTGATGCCTACCAGTTTTGAATTTTTCTGCTGAACTTTGCAATGAAGATCCCTGACCTCTTAGAGGTCAGAAATACAGAGACTCAGCATTGAGTAGGGAACTGCAAATTTTTTCTTTTTTACCCTGGATGCTATCCATTTGTGGCCATGTATGGTGCTGGCACCAGCTGAAAATGCAGATTCCTGCTCACACCCAGGCCACTGTAACTAGAGAGATTGATGGATGTGGGGCTTGGGATGATGGAGAATGGTCACAGTGCGGGATCTCCACCTCTCTTGGATGGCTGGCTGATGCAAACCCAAATTTACTTCAGGTGACTTCTGCATTTCTACTGCCTTTAATTATATAAGGAATTATCATAATCTTCAATTTATTATTCAAATGGTTTTGATTATGAGATAGAATTCATTTTGATGCATCATGTAGTTGAAATTACTTCTTAAAGCTCTTTATATGGGCAGCTGCAATTAATCTGAAGTTCAGACTTACAAGATCAACATCATCAGTCTTTTTTGTGTGTTTGCTCAAGGAAAATATTATTTCCCACACTGCATTTGATCTAGATGTGAAAAACAGTAATTTCTGCCAGTTTTAGAAAATGATAAAAATTAGGATCCTCAAGATAGAGTTTCAAACCTCAAACATTCTTCTGGATTAAATCTGCTAGTACTAAATTTTACACATGAAATAATCAATATTCAGCCATTTATTAGGATTTAGCCACTCAACAATTCAATTTTTTTTTTTTAATTTAATGCTTTTGTGTATCAGGTTAAGGTAATATTTTTTGTAGAAAAATCAAGATTTACATAACGGCATATAATCAAGACTATGCATCACTGACTGAAATCACTTGCTCTTTTTTCTTTTGGATATGAGTTTTAAATTAATCACAGTTATGACCCTGTAATTTGTCACTGATCCTCTCCTCTATCTTCCCATATTACAAATGCAACCAGGGCAAAAGTCTAATTTTAAAACCATAGCATACTTTTTCTGCAAATGATCTTCAAATACTGAAGGGGTTTTCCATTATTCATTCACTTGTCATTTCTGACGAACTTACAAAATGCTCAGGGACAGTCTTTTCTAATGTACTAAGCAATGTTTAATAGCTGGGAAATGAATTCAAGATCCCTTCAAGATCATGATGATGAATGGATTTGGATTTTTGGACATATTCAAAGTTAAGAAAAAAAAGGTTTTTTAACAACTGTGAAGCAGTAGGTTTAGGAATGTAATTGAAGATTTTACGTTGTACAGCTTTCAAGTTTGAATGACAATTTCTCTTTGACCTACATCATTGTCTTACATGGTACAGAAACCGAGCAATTAGCAATTTTTGATTCAAAGATGAAATACTAGTTTTTTTAAGAAATCCATTTTCAAGTAAACATAGTGAAATTTCACCAATCATTTCAAAACATTCAGACAATCCTAATATGGCCCATACTTTTTTTTTTCATGGACTTTAGGAAATACTCTGACAGTTACAAGGCTGACGAAGGAAAATTATCCTCTCTGACACATCAGTCAGTCTTGATTAAAAAACAGGCTTACAAATTGCTGGCAATACATCACAGTTTTGACCCCACAAAACTTACAAATTCAGTTGTTATGATCTTGGGAAAAATGTTTATATTTGCTAGAGAAAGTAAATCTGTAAAAAGATGAAGAAAATGATCTGTAGAAAGTGCTTGACTATATTAATGGATAAGCTAAACTTTGTTTCCTTTTGTAGCAACTAGTTTTAATTTCTCATGTCTTTGTATGATTAAAAAGAGACAAAAAATCCTATTTAAGCATTTTATGCAGGGGAATGCATAGTGGAATCATTATTTTAATCTGCTGCATCTATATGCATAGATCTGACAAGCTCAGCATGACTGAAGTAGCCCATGCATGAAGTATAGTAAATCTTATGAAAATCGCTGCCTTTTCTGATTCATTAATAATTAATCTGTTCATTTTGGGAAATGCAAAGTCTTTCCTATGTGAGAAGGAACAAAATTAGGTGGTGGACTGTGATCACCTTGTCCTGTCCAAGTCACAGTCTGTATCAGGACAAAGCCACTGGATAAATAAAAATATCTCAGTTCTAGATCTAGAATTACCATAATCTTTGTCCATCCTGTACTTCATGCACCCAGACCACTCTAAATCCAGACCATACCATTGTTTAGGTCCTGATTACAAGGTATTACATACACATGGGTATATATATTTACACACATATAAAAACGTGTGTGTACACATGTGCCCAGGTGTGCAATGTATATATAATATACAATCATGGATAAAATTCTATCCCATAAACTAAAGTTATTCTGGAAATACACTTCAAAAATTTCTACTTTATTTAAATGGAAAAAAATTTAGGTATGATATCTCTTCACAGACAAGAATTTGTCTCATTTGGGACACAAGTTGTATTCTCCTTTGTACTTACAGTTGAAGGCAGCAACATTGGAAGAAACAGATGGGCTGAGTCTATTAAGACATCATGGCTCCATGGCTGGTGTCACAGCTAAAGTGTTAGGGGGGTTTGACAATGGGATGGCCTAAGCACCAGGCATGCTGTCAGCAGATGGGACTCCCCTTTCTCAGAGAGGAAGGAGAGCCTTTGCTCAGGAGCAGCGGGTCTCATTGCCAGAGCTTCATCCAAGCTGTGATGGGGAAGGGACACAATATCAGGCTTGTCTGTGGCAAGGCAATTGGCCTCATTTAACCATGTTTTGAGAAATCTCTCTCATCCCCTAAAATTTTTGACTGTTTCGTATCTTCAGCCAAATATGATAGAGGTTCTTTTAAAGATAGTTAAATTTCTTCAAGTTTATGAAAATATTCAGGTAGGAAAAAGAAATTTGTAAGTATGCCAGACAGAAAATATGGCAGCATGATCTCATCTTACTGGATGCTGCAGATCTATACCAGGCACATATGTTATAAATGGTCCAACCACATAAAAAATGGTCAGTGAGTCTTGTACTTTATGGGACTCCTAAGGTGCTAGACTTTAGGAAATTGGATTTCACTAATTCTCATGTTCCAAGCAGTGTGGCAGTTAAAATCATAAACTAAAAATAAAATGGAATGAAGCTTATAGTTAATGTTTCTAATTCACTGGAATCTAAAGGTAATGTAGACCTGAAAAATACTTTCATTTCTCTGGATCTGGTAGCCCACCATAAAGCAAATGGTACTAATGGTGGCAGAACATATGTGGAAAAGAAACCCAGAACTTAATAAACGAATGATGCTTCTAAGAAATAATAAATAGACATAAAATGCAACTTGTAATCTTCATTTTCTTGCACAAAATGTTCAGTCCATCATCTCTTTCACCTTACATTTTTATGAAAAAAGGGGTGACTTTTCCCACACTTTCAACTAGCAGTCACGATTTATATGCATACAAACAATTTGGTTTTCTTTAAGGAGATTACTGTGTATTTGATGAACTTTAAGTTTCAGAAAAAGGCATTTCACTCCACTATATTTCACAGGATATACATTTTCTGTTAAATACTTTTCTTGAATATGCAGATGCTAGTCTGAACTGAGTAGTTTATATATGAACCTCAATTTTATTGAATTAGATTTCAAAATTTATGTAACCCTTCATGAGGCAATGTTTCCTCTTAGTGCATTGGAAGAAGTCAGTGAGAGGGAGTTTCCATGATAAGGAAAACTGACAAACTTGATAAGAGACCGTAGAGAGAACTTTGTTGAAGTATTTCTATTGGTTCACTCACAGCAGGACACTTCCGAGAAATGGATGCTTTTAGTGGAATTACAAAGTGCACTTAATGCAATCCAACACACAACAAGAATTTCACTGGTAAAATGCAAGGAGCAAAGAATAATAGAGGTTATGTTTGCTGACTGTGATTTTTCCTACTGTTTTTCAGCTGTAATGAAAGTATATGAAGATTTTTTCCTTTACAAAGAGGGAATATATCGACACTCCCAGAAAGCAGGATCTAAATGGAAAACTCATTCAGTCAAACTCCTTGGGTGAGTAAAGCACATTCTTTTACCTTTTTTCTCTGCCAGTCATGAGTGTAATAAAATGTTAATGACCAGTCTGTAAACCAAAGACTTGACTGTCACAGATGGAACACTGCTAGCTCCCAACATAAGACTGATGTTTCATTTTTGCCTTGTCTATGAATTTTAGAGAGTACTGAAAAGAGGTGTAGACCCATCATCTCTTAATCTATTCTTATATTTGTTCAAAACCATCAAATATAATGTTTGTAGAATAAACCATTTAACCCCCATATATATATATAGTTAAAACCCACATACACACACACACACATTTTAATATATATATATATATATATATATATATATACACCATATAAAAATACTTGGTAAGGTATTCACAAATATTCCAAGTTGTGAAAAAAGTTGATATAATTTTCTTCAAATATGCCACCAAACAGAATGCAAATAGAAACATGAAAATTGACAGTGACCTCCCACTCAAATGGCATAGTTAGGGGTCTAGGCTTTCTGTGCCCTGAATAGAAACCAACTGCTGCTGAGATGCTGCTGATTTTATTTGGAAAACCACTTCAGAAGCATGTGTGTAGTACACTAGTGGGTTTCCTCTCAAATGTAGACCAGGCCACTATGTTAAGAAGACAAGTGTCTAATAATGCATATGCTTGAATTACTGAACACACCACAAGGCTTTATTCTTTGCCATGGAGGGAATATGCAAGGATGAATTTTTATTAAATCAATGAGTGAATACACAGAAAAATTACTGTAGAATCTCAAGAAAATATTTTATCGGTGGTCTAGAATATCATATAAGTAATGATTCCATGTGTGCTAGGAAAATTACTGAGAGTATTTACAACAAGTATTTCAAGAACATAAAATTGCAAAATAAGGTTAATTTTGTGCTTGTGATCTTAGTGAAGAAATCTTCATGAAGGGGATAGAAGCAAAGAGATGCAGCAGGCTTATGCCAGATCATCTTTGATACTGCTGCAAAAAGTATTGACTTGGACAAATAAAGGAAAAACTCCCAGCCATATGATTATAGAGAATATTGTGCAGCAATGAAAAAGAGAAACTGGAATTTAGTGTAGAAAAATGGGGCACTAAATTAGGAAAATACATTTATGGAGGACAGATGGTAAGTGTTGATTTTTGTATCTGTATTTAAGGTAACAGCTGTGAGAAACCAATAACATTAGACAGTAAAATGTGCAGTGCAATTTGAATACTTTAGCTCTGGAATGAGCTGCTGTGAGGCTGTAAGTTCAGGTGCTGGGAGGGCTGTGAAGTGTGCTTGGTGCAAGCATAGGGTGATGACAACTCTTCCCTAAGACAAGCTGCTCCACATTTGTGCAGAATAACCTACCCAGATGAGTGATTATGCAAGAATAGCACCAGGGGACAAAGTGATGGCTGAGGAGGGAGAGAGGAGGAGATAACTAGAGTGCCAACCATATGTACCAACCATATGAAGCTCAACAGGGGAAAGTGCCAGATTCTGCACCTGAGATGGGGCAACCCTGGATGTACAGACAGACTGGGAAATGAGATGCTGGAAAGCAGTGCCACAGGAAAGGACCTGGGGAAGCTGGCTGATTGAAAGTTGAATATGACTGAGCAGTGCCCTGGCCAGGAAGGCCAACCCTGGGGGTTATCAGGCTCAGCATTGCCAGCTGGGCAAGGGAGGGGATTGTCCCTCTCTGCTCTGAACTGGGGCAGCCTCACTTCAAGTGCTGGGGGCAATTTTGGGCACTGCAATATAAGAAAGATATTAAACTATTAGAGGGCGACAAAAATGGTGAAGGGCCTTGAGAAGAAGCTGTATGAGGAACAGCTGAGGTCACTTGGTCTGTTCAGCCTGGAGGAGACTGAGGGGAGACCTCACAGCAGTTACAGCTCCTTGTGAGGGAAGGAGGAGGAGCAGGCACTGATCTCTTCTCTGTGGTGAAAAGTGACAGAATCCAAGGGAATGGCCTGAAGTTGTGCCAGGGAGGTTTATGATGGATATTAAAAAGAGATCATTCACCCAGAGGGTGGTTGGGCACTGGAACAGCTCCCCAGGGCAGTGGTCACAGCATAACCTGACAGAGTTCAAGAAGCATTTGGATAATGCTCTTGGGTACATGGTGTGACTCTTGGGGTGTTCTGTTCAGGGCCAGGAGTTGGACTCAATGATCCTTGTGGGTCCCTTGCTAGTCAGGATATTCTATGATTCTGTATTTCCACGCTGAAGTGGATGCTGATTTAAATGGGAACTGACAGGCTGTGCAAAGAAAATATAGCAAGGGACCCTTAGGCAACCCTTAGGCAAGGGACCACTATGAGCAAAATCTGAACACCTTGACTAAGACACAGGACTGTGTTGAATGGTCACTAGTGAACACTGAGAAGTAGGAAAGACAAGTGATCTGATGTACTGAAAAAGAACTTAAGTGACGGAAAAAGAAGAAAACTGAAGATGATATTATATATGAAACCCCAGACTTGTTCAGAGTTTAATATGGGGGAATGCATTTTCTTACTAACTCATTTATTTAATTTGAATATTCCTGAAATACCCAATGGATCCAACAGTATAAAGATTTACCAATCCTGAAATTGTCTAAGGCACAAATGTTGAAATGTTGTGGCCTCCAAAGTTGTGCCATATAAAATACTTGCAGACCTGTTTAACTGTAAAAATTGAATTAGATCTTGACAAGTTGGAGGCTGTTGGAGCCTTAAGCTAGGTGCTTCTAGAATGATAAATCCAACCATAAAATGTGATTCTGCATCATGAACTTTAAACCACTTCATTGTATAGATTCTAATGTCTTCAGGATTAAGCCATCACTTTTTAATATAATTTATTAGTTTCAATGAATTCGAATGCAAAATATGTGTTGTGGGTGTAAGTTCTTTGTCACTCATATACAGCTTGGAAGCAAAAGAAAATGTAGACTCCTTGACCTCAATAAAAAAACTCATGGGAATCTCATCATAGCTGTACTTCAGATAAAAATACAGATGAATATTTGCATTTTGCTTAGCTGAGATGGCTCCTGGGGAGACAAAAAGGAGCAGAGACATGCTGATAGATAGGATAAAATATGCAAGTTTTTTGTGGGTTGAGGTTTATTGTAGGCTTATTTTTATTTATAATCCCTTCCATAAAAGACATTCAATACTTGTAAAAGACAGCCATAATAATGACAGACCCTATTAAACTGATATTTGTAATATCTCAGAAACATTTTTGAAAATGCCTTAAATTGCTCATGAATTGTGCAACATATAAGGCAAAGGAGTGATAAAATGCAAATACATTTCGGTGATGCTTGCAAGAGCTATTTGTACAAAACCAGAAATGCACATACAAACTGCTCAATTGATCATTGGACCAGAAGGATTTTAAATGTTTAGACTGGCTTCCCTTGTTCTGCAAAGGGGAAATTGAAAGTTATTCTCCATCAAAGGTTTATTTATAAAATCAGCTGTGACAAGACTGGGAGTCTATCTCCCAGTGCGGTACTGTGAGGTACTGTGGGACCTCAGGCTCAGGGAGAGAATATGAAAAGACAGAATAGCATGGAAGGAGGAGAGGAAAGTGTGGAAGAGCCAGGTGGAGGCTGTTGTGGGTAGCAGAGTGTTTGGGTTTGGTCACAGTCTCTCTAGTGAAATAGGGCTTTCAGTAATCTGAAGGCAGGACGGACAGACCCACTGATACTTGAAGAGAACAGGGTCTCAGGCAGTTTCTGTGTCTATTCTAGACACAGGGAGATAAGCAGAAGAAGTGAGTAATGGAGGCTGGAATACATAACAGCTAAGTTTTTACGTAGTAAAGTTAAATTCCTATGCCTCTGCATGTTTCCTTTATCTTTTATAGATATTCATCTGCTCTAGCTCAAGTATCTAAAGGTGAGCTGAATTGCTTCGTTGGATCTGATTTCTCCTTTTAGACTATAATAAAATCTGTGGGATAACATCACACTTAAATAGCTAAAATGAAAAATTCTAGATTAGATTACAGAAATCCCACATGGAATGACATCTTAAAGTTGCTTAAAACCAAAATGACTGGTGCATAATATTCATAGTAAGACAGTATTTTCAGAATCTTGCATATGTATGTGTTTATGTCCATACATGCATTCATGGATCCATACATCCACAATTACAGCTCTTAATGACACCAGAATGAAAATCAGTTAAAGAGGCACAACAAAACTGCAAATGGCAAGTGGGATTAAAGAGGACAAACTATTAGTTTGATAATTTTCATTTTTCATTGGCACTCTCCTATTTAAAGAAGATTGATGGCTGAAAAATGACATACAAAACTGTCATTTTTATCTCCAGGTCTCTTAATGAAAAAGGACTAAATTCACATCAAAGATGAACTCGGTGGTAGATTTCTTTCAGATCTGTACATTTAAGCTAGGATTTCTTATCAAACTTGTCATATTTGTTCTCTACTAGACTCTCTGTAATTTTTTTTTTTTGTTGTTGTTGTTGTTGTTGGTTGGTTGGCTGGGTTTTTAAATTTTATTTTCTCTTCTTTCTAGTCTTCTGGCTTTCTTAGTTCCATCTAGAAAAAGAAATGTAATGTCTATAGGAAAAGAAAACCTGGGGCAGATTTGTTGGTATAAAATACCATAGTCTGTTTGGTAAGGAAAGTACAGCTCAGTGAAGGAAGTACATTGGATGGATTAGCTGTGGTCCTAGTTCAAAAAAAATCTTTTCAAATTTAGTGAAGTACCCATCTGTATGTTTGCAGCTTGTTCAGACAAATCTCTCTCAGATTTTTATTTCTGAATCACTTTAGTATCAGTGCCAAGCTACAATACGTGATCTATACCTCACTAAGAAGCTGCAACTGCTGAAGCCATGACACTGAAAAATCCAGGCAGGTCTCAAAAGCCCATGTCTTTGGCTGCAGTTAAATCTATGGACTATCACTTTAACGCTTGGAGGAAACAAAAAAATGTGATTAAAAGCCTTGATAATCTTTCATGAACAAG